ACCGCATAAACACATTTCATTACACCAAATACACAAAATAATGTTATTTTTTAGCAACGTCATAAGACCCCTTTAAGTAAATGGCTCTCTTTATGAATGGGCCATTGAATAATTTGTTCACACGATTCGTTCAAAACATGAATTCATTCAGAAATGGTGTGTTGCTCTGAGACATACAACAGTTCTGCTGTGGCTTTAATATTGGCGTTGGCAAAATTGAGCAAAAAAAGACAATATTGTGTCTAAAATATAACACAATATTGAGTTCTTATTTATTAAACTGTTGTATAAAATCAGTATCACATTTGCACTCGTGTTATTTGGGACAAAAACAGCACTGGTGTGATACTGCACTCATTGCTTGTGTGATATGACTTAACTATATCATATGATATATATATGACAAAATCTCATACAGGGGCATTTTTGCCCCAATAACTTGAATTTTAGTGGCATATAACTGCACTCAATAGGCTTCGTCATGGGCAGAGCAGGTGCGTTTTTTTTTTGTTTTTTTGTTACATAACTAATAAATTTGATTAACACGTTAAATCGACAGCCCTTATAAAAAAATCTCATTTTAAATAAATGCTGTTCTTTTGAACTTTCTATTCGTCAAACAATCAAAGTATCATGCACAACTGTTTTCAACACTGACTGGGGTAATGACTGCTGAAAATTCAGCTTTGACATCACCGATATAAATTACATTTTAAGATATAATAAAATTAAAAGCAATTATTTTAATTTGTAATAATATATCACAATATTAGTGCTGTATTTTTGATAAAATAAATGCACCTTTGATGATGTAGTGACTTAACTGTAATTTAAGTAGTTAATTCTATAAGGGAATTAATCATTCATTCGATTTCTAGCTCAGGTTTTGAAAGGACTCGAATCTGAAAATTCTGAGTCAACCTGATCAAAACTGAATTCAAATCTGATAGTTTACACTTTAAATCAAGGGCCGTCCAGCAAGCCGGTGATTCTTAGTATATTTTAACGACTTAAATCTTTGTATTTCCTTGGCCACGGTCAATACAATTATTATAAGTAAGTTAAACGATTTGTCTTTTAAAATCGTCATGCAAGGTTCTGTTTCTTTGGTTGTAACATAAGGACGCGGGTCCGTTGGGGTTTCAGGAAGCAGATGTTCAAAAAGTCATGTGGTGTCACGCTGTATAGATCCCGTGTTTGCGGGCCTGAGGGCATCAGTTAATTTACTCATCCTTTTCCTGCTGGATATACTAGTTGCACTCATTGTTGGTCACAAGACATCGTGGTTTCTATATGTTGTGAACGAACCTTTTCAGTCCTTGATACAAAGAAAGCTTTGTTGTCTCTTGATTGGATCAATCTTTAATCACTCCTCTGAGTAGATGACGACATGACTGGCAGGAAATCGACCCAGAATATTGGAGTCATGTGCTGGGGGTGATTGGTATAGATACCTCATGATATTCACGTGGTGAATCCACAGCTTATGGGGGCCTGTTTCACAAGACAGAGACCTTACAATGAACATAATAGTCTTCTTTTAAAAACATTAATAGAAAATCTTACTGACCCTGCAATACTGTGGAAAATGTGTGTTAACATGTCTAAAGGTATTAGGAATCGCTAACCTTGCTCCCTTTTCAGTTTTTTTTTTTTTTTTTTTACAGAAAAAAATAATGAATGTTTACAAATAAGCCTCCCAAACTCTTTCCACATCTGCCATTGGTCAGTCAAACAGATAGTTCTGCCCCAAACTCATGGCATTAGTTGAGCCAGTGTTGTTTTATTAAACTGGGATTAGTGTTTTAACATCCAAAAAAATTGCACCCATTACCTTTGAGTGTTTTAGTCCAGTCAGCAGTTCATTACTATGTAATTTTATGCCTCTAGCAAAAGCATCTCCTCTGGATGAATGGGACATCTGGATGAACCAAACAGACACACACTCCCTTTTTCTCTGGTCTCTGTAGGATGGAGCTTCTGAAAGGCCTTCAGATACAATTAATATTAGATAGAGGTCTGCTGCTGCCTTCTGATGTGTTGGGCTTGTGAAGTTTCTCTTCTTGAATGTTATTTCTTGTCTTTTTCTTCAAATAAAGTTGATATATAAAAGACAGACTGCAGTGTGTAGTCGCCGTGTTCCCTCGGTATTAGGAAGAGCAGGAATATGGCACTGGCCTAAAACATTTTGTTGGAACCAATGTGACATTTTAAAAGTAAAAATTGAAACAACGCATTTAGTCTGAATGAGCCAGGCAACAGCATTTCCTGAGAGAGAGTTAAGTGCCGGAGAGATGATAGCGGTACCTCACTTCAGGACTTCTGGGAGTTTTGAGACGCACAATTTAGTGCCATGGTGTTGGTCATTTGTCTTACTCTGAACTTGCTATGAGGGTTTTGAGATTCTGTTTCTTTCTTTCGTGCGCTGTTATATCTTTCACCTACACACTGTTTGAATGCTAGAACATTCACACTGTAGCATTATTTTTATAGTACTTTGCACTTTGATATTAAAAGAAATTTGATCCAACCTTCAAGACATTTTATTGTAGACACGTTTTCTCTATTTGGAGATCTTTTAGAGAAAGTTTGGTGGTGATTGACAGACTGGTTGATGAGAATGGGTTGTGGCAGTTTGTCACAAATAAATTCATATATTTTTGAGAAATATGAAGTTTTACACAGATTACTGTGTTTTGGCATCACAAAGCCACACATTTTTCTATTGCCTGATTTCCTGATCCAAAAATGAAAATTGTATCATCACTTACTCGCCCTTCTTTTGTTCCCAAATTTTATGACTTTGTAAATGGATTGCTTGCACAACTATTTTTGTGTTTTACAAACAATTTTCAGGCAGCACATCTACATTCAGACAATTACTCATAAGAACGCAGATTATTTCTCTTTTTAGGGCTAAACAATGAATGATTGCATTGAGTTAAATACATTTAATTATGTTAAAATATTTAATCTAAAATTGCATTGTATGCAGTATGTATACTGTGCGCAGTTTCCAAATTTCATTATGCATTGAATATTCAGATTGTCTACTGCATTTGCCAAAATAAAAAAGAATTAGCAGAGAATTAAATATTCAAAATGTAAAGGACTCAACTTGACCTTTGTTTTGCAAATGAACTGGAATTATTAACTGTAATTTCAAACATATTTTTCTTGACCCATTATTCAGCCAAACTGCTAAGAGTTAAGACATTTTTTACACACTCTTGGATTAAATGTGTATTATTTTCTGAGTTAAACATGCAGTGTAATGTGACAGCAATGAAGGATAATATTCGTACAAACGTTTATCTTTGCATAATGCATGCTGTGCTATTAAAAAATAGCAGGCAGTATGCAGTGTGCAGCAAGCAGTGTGCTTTCAGCAGGTCTGTGCTGTGACTGATTAGTAATGTCTTGAGACACCTGCAATCAATCTAACTCTACTCGGCATGCCATTACTCTGGTCTGGAATGTGTTGCTTTGAATGGAGCAGATGCTGGTGCTCAGAAGTGAATTATACTTGAGAGTGGGCCCATCAAGGTTATCCAGCTTTGTGGAGTGATACAAACACATCATGGAGTGCGTTATCTGTCAGCATGATTTCATTCACTTTATGTTTCCATGTGTTTTTTGTATGTGTGTTTTGTTCTTTGGTAGATGGGGGAATCATATGGCGGAAATTAATCCTATGAGGGAAGCTGCATGTGTGCGTGTTTGTTAGGAAAAGACCCTGTTGGATAGGAGGTTGATTGGTCTGATTGGAGTTACCAAAAGGTCATTAAAGGTGAAACCCAGCATGAAGCAGCAGTCGCTTAATAGAGAGAGAGGCAGACAGACAGCATGTGTTTCTTGCACCTGTGCACATCAAGTTGTGGATTGTTGATTTGAATAATGTTTGATGAGCTTATGGATCTCCTGATTGGGTTGTTCATGTGATCTGAAGTGGGCAATTTTTAAAATTAGAGCAAATTGTCTCATGCCTTTTTAATTATGTGTCCATGTAAACTAGATGGATTCTGTCCAAGCATAATAGTAATAGTTATAATAATAATACAAATAATAATAACGGATTATCATAAATGTATTATTATTATTATTTAGTTTATTTGATCATTTTTTTTACTGCTTCAACAGGTGTCCAAAGTAGTCCAAATTGATTTTTTTTTTTTTTTTTTTTTTTGAGGGGCTTTTTT